TGACTGGCCTTGTGGAAGGGACTAGTGACTGGAGTTGTGTAGGGACTTGTGGAAGGACTTGTGATGGACTCAAATGCAACACTGCTACAAAGTTTTCTAGAAATATGCGTACATCAAGCATCCTTACTTCTGCAGATGTTTGATTCCAACCCATTTTGAATCAGAAATGAGTGCAGCAGTAATCTTAGATCCTCCATCGACGTAATCTTACATTTTCTGTCATCCTGTTTCCATTCTCATCCTGTCTGCAGCGAGCACACTCCAGATCCTTCCCCTCCCAGCTCTCCACCACCCACCAAAGGCCGAAGTGAAAATGTCTTCTCCAGACTCACCCAGAGCAACTCCCCAGCCGCACCTCGCAATGGCAGGTAGGTGTTCTTAATTGGTTATGTACAAGGAATTTAGCAACAGTGAATTTACATTTGGTATAGAGGACCGTTAGCTTCTGTATCAGAAAATAGTAATGCACTTTAACTTTTAACCCTAACCCTCCTCAATCCTTCACCTGTTGGAGGATTGAAGAGTGTTAGGGTTAAAGGAATTGTTTTGCAACTTAGATGTATTAAATTTTGTATTTACAAAACTCACGATTAATTTCTTTCCTGCAATGCCTCACAGCAAGCCAACTGCTGAGGATGATGGGTATGTGATGAGAAATAATTGTCAATCATTTGTATTTGTGGAGTTAAAATCTGTGTTTGGAATTTCCGCTTAGCGAATAAGGCCAACTCCGGGAAAGGTGATAAGTCCTGCTGTGCCTTTCTGTGCAATAACCCGCTCAACGTTGAGAGGGGAATTTTTCTGGGTGTTTCAAGTTTCATTTCTTTTGAGAAATCAATCTGTCGTTACTACAAAGTTTCAGGTTTTATATACCAAAATGTTTCAAAGGGAACATGTTGGTTGCTGGTAAGATTTAACCACTTCCTGCTGGGTGCCTTTGGAAATGCGTTGTCTAATGCTGGGCGATTTTTCAATGTCTTCGGTTTTCAAAAATTTACATCTTTTTCCTGAACGCCTAAACCCCATCGAGTGACTGTCTGGTGGCTACTCTAATCTGACAGACAACATCTATTGACACCCGAGTATTTCAGCCAGGCATGCCGCCTTGTAAAAAGAGCCCAGATTGTGCGGTGTTGTGTAATTTTCTTTTGCTCCCAAAACTGCCACAGTGCACTGCTGGCGGCTTTTCAATACGGGCCAGATGAGCGTGCAGCGGTATTGTATCGCTCATCAGTGGAGTGCTGGAATGCTTTTGTCTCCGGTGGTAATCTGCTCTTGCTGAATGCCACAAATAATTGGTATAATCTTTCAAAACAATGACGGATTTCCTCCGCTATTGTCAACTGAAAAAATGTTGGCAATTCCCAGCAGTCCGGCCTTTTGTTGTGATTACGGTCTTGTGTTACAAGGCCCAGCTCTTTTGTCTGATTTCGGGCAGCCCGGCTTTGTGTAAAAAGAAAACATACATGTATCCGAAACCGGGCTCACCGGCAGCAAGTGGTTAAGGTGATTCGTTCAAGCCTAAGTTTGTAGTACTCACATTTTTTCAAAGCCTGTTTTCTCATTTATTGAGTAGAACTCAAAAGAGCTAATTGATGCGGAAAAAAGGCATCTCCCCAACGGAATAGGCTATGGAAGGAAAGGAGGGGGGGTGGATTCCGTCCCCCTCCCAGTCCGGCTTGATAGGTCTCAAATGCTGTCATGTTTGTTGAGAAGTTGTTCCTTAATTCAGTCAATCTTGAACGGCAGAGGTGTTGTTTATATTCTTTCTTTGCTGCTAAAGAATTTCATGTTCTGTTGAAGACTGTTCTATTATTTTGCTTGGTTCTGTGTGTCAGTTCTTGCATGATGCATGAAGAAGATGGTTTAGTCCAACCTCTTCAGATCTCACCCAGTGATGGGATTGACACTTCTCGTCTTTTTTTTCCAGAGGAATCATAAATCCCGTCCCAGTCAAACCACAAGGCAAAGCTCCTTTAGTCTGTTGTTACACCGCTGAAGGACATACCAAGGCTGTGCTGTCTGTGCAAGCTACAAATGATCTCTTATTCAGTGGATCAAAAGGTGTGATCTTCATAAATTATCCGCTCTGAGCGGGAACTAGAGAGGGCATGTTTTATGTGGAAATGGTGGTCCTACGGTGGGAACTCAAAACTTAGGCAAGTTTATGCGCGTTGGATCCGGGACGTAGTGAGTTGTGCTACCATTTTAGAATAATTAGTCTTTGCATATGTGCCAGGCACATTGAAACACTTCCCACCAACCTGTCCCATCTTTGTCAATGAGGGTGCATTTCAACTCACGGCAGATAGGCATTGGCTTCCAAACTTTGACCTTAACCCCAAGTATGTGTGACAAAAAGTGATTAAATTTGTAGGACTGAGGGGAGTTAGGCTATAGGTGGAAAAGCTTGTGGCAGCACCATGCGAAGGAATATATCTCTTATGAGTATGTGTGGTTCTGAAAAGAACCGGGGGTATACTTTCTCAGAACCACACATACTCATAAGAGATATGTTCCTTCGCATGGTGCTACCGCAAACCTTTTCCACCTGTTGCTGTCTTTCACCATGAATAGCCTGAAATTCCATCTGAGTCTTAAGCTATTAAAGCTTGTCTTTGTACAACTTTTCCATTCCAATAGTTGGCATGGTTATCAGACTTTTACTTGTAAATTGGAGTTATTTTATTGCATATTTAAAGAAATTTAACCCAATGTAACATTTTAATTAATCTCTGGAGGATTGATTAAGGGGCTGAGAGATCTGACACCCCGACCTCCCCCCCAGCTCCGTAAAACTCTGTAAACCCCCTCCATGTCTGTGAAAAATAAAGCTCTGTTTTTTGTACCATGCAGATAAGAAGGAATCGCACCTGTTTCATTATGAACCAACTTACGACTGACTGTTCCCATTCAAGAATGCCTCGAGTGATGTTTTCTGTGTCTAGAAGAGACCATCTTCAGTCTCTCTCCATGGCTCATCACCACTACCAACCAGTTGTAAATGTGAACTACAAATCTATTCATTTGTTGTTTATTCACAGATCGAACGGTCAAGATTTGGAAGCTCGAGACTGGTCAAGAATTGTCCACTCTATCTGGTCATCCAAACAATGTAGGAACCGTCCGGTACAGTGAGGAGAGAGGCTTGGTGTTCAGTGTCTCCACAGCATACATACGAGTTTGGGATGTCAGGGAACCGGGCAAATGCATTAAAACGTTAAGGTGAGCTTTTCGTCATGATGAGCACAAAAGGTTAATGTAATTCCCGTGCAGGGAAAAAGAGACTTCAAGCTGATCTTCACAGTGTAGAGGCTTGTTGAGGAGAATCTGTTGGACATTTGTGGGTACATGTAGCAAATTAAGTTTAATGTATTTCTCGTGAATTTTGCCAGTAGGGAGCCTATTTGAATGCCACGGCTTGGCCTCTGCAAGATCCTCTGCAGTGCATGTGTCATGCAGCATGACACAGCTCAAGAGATGTTGATAGTCTTCAGGCCATGTGGATTTGGTGAATGCCAAATAGAAGTTTGAGATTATGGAAGTGTCGTCTTCTTGTTTTTTTTGCCCTTCCCTTTTTTAAGAAATTCGACCAGAATCCAAAGGGACCGTGGAGGGACAAACCATCAGCACCAGGAATATGACCTGTTTGTGAGGCCAATAAATACACCTCTTGCAAGGATCGGAAGATGCCAGTGCACTTGAAGAGAAATGTTGCAAAGATTCTAAAAGGCTTGACCTTGGTTACATTACATTATTGTCCCTTTCTTTGTGAAGATACATGGATAAAAAGCTCATCATGGATATCAGATATAACACAATTTTTCAGGGGATTTTGAAGAAATCCCATCTGACCTTACATGTATTTCTGTGAATATAGTTCGTCGGGTCACGTCTTAGATGGCAGCGCTGCTAGCAGCTCATCACGGACGGTTGCCATGCCAGCGGGTGAGACACAGGTCAATGATATAGCTGTGAATAAAACCGGAACCAGACTATACGCAGCGGCTGGGAATATCATCAGAGTCTGGTCCCTGACCAAGTACGTTCCATACCATATTAATGTGTGTTTAAGAATATGGAGTAGAGGTGTCTATTACACTATGCCACAAATAAAAAGCGACCACACAGATCGACCAGCCACCCCCAACCTATGCATATATACCCCATTTTTCATTTTATTAGATTGTTCTTGAAGCGTTGCTGCTTGTGATCTAAACAGAAGCAGTAGATGAATGGATTATTTTTTACCTCCGTAGTTTCCAGTCCATCTGTAAGCTCTTTGGTGGTCCTTCGGCGGCCATCATGTGCGTTGCCGTGGATACCCAAGATGACTGTGATTATGTGTATGCAGGATCAAAGGACCACTACATCAAGGTATGCTGTTCAGCTTTGATCCTGGACTGACAAAAGTATGAGGAACAAATATTGAGGAGTTAAGTCCCAGACTTCGTGTTTCCTGGCAAGAATATATACTTGAAGACCTCGTCAGAAGTTGGAGTCATTTTATTCTTTCTTCTCTAGTCAAGTGGCCGGTAAACAATCATTCACATCCTAGCTTCCCTTTTGCTGTTATACAAACTAGTCTTTTTATAGTTTATACAAAAGCTTCACCAAGAAAATTGTAAAAAAGACAAAGAGAAAAGGTTTACTGGTACACCATGTGAAATCAAACTCTTCTATAAGATTGGTGGTTCTTAGAAGACCTGGTGAGTGTACTGTGAGGATGCTTTGGCCATTCCCAGGAGAGAAGCTGGACTGGGATCTCTCTTAAAAAACATTGTATGAGGCAACCACACTTTGAATTGTGAACAAAATTATGATGGTGTTATCTGGAGTAACATCGTGCATGTTGCATAATTTGTAATAAACTGATTGCATCCAGTAAGTCACATGACCTAGAGTTGGTATCAATTATCAGTAAACGTGGGTGCCCCCCAGAAAAAGTGTGTCATAAGTGTCATTTACCGAAAATAAAGTTGACGGGTACTGCAGTCCTCGGACTACTGATGTGCTGAGTGCTGTACTGAAAATCGGCTTTATATTTGGTAAGCAACTCTTGAAACACAAATTGCTATCAGAGGACGCCATGTTTGTTGATAATGTATTTATACCCACTGTAGGTTACGTGACTTAGCAGGTGCAAACAGTCTGTTCCATTGATCCTTTCTTACTGGAGGTAGGGTTTTCCTTAATTGTGTACGCCTGTTTGTTAAGACACGTACATGCTAATAGTATTCTCTCTGATATTGATACAGGTGTTTGAGGTACCAAGTGCCGCGACAGGTTGTTTAACAGCCAAACACAACTTAGATCCACCTCACTATGATGGAGTTCAATCTATTGCCATCAATAAACAACTTCTATTCAGCGGCTCAAGAGATGCCTGCATTAAGAAGTGGGATTTGGAGAAAAAACAGCAAGTCAAGGTAAAATTGGAACGTTTCATTTTCCTGAGGAGTTTCTTTCCTGATTGTCCTGGGTTCAACTTCACGGAGCTGCTTAACAGTTAGCAGAAATGTTATTCTAACTTTAGCAAAAATATTTGCTTTCTTTATACAGCATTATTTCATAGCAGTCATTGTGCTAATAGTGGCGTGCGCATAGAGAATTCTTCGTCACTAAGTTGAACCAAATCTTTCCCCTGAGGTTAGCGTGCCTTTGGCTGTGCTTTAGGTCTCCATGAAATACATGGAGCCGTGAACTTGGGCCCTGATCAGAAATCTGTTGGCACCATGCTGCGGTTAAACAGGAAAACCGAACTATGTGCCTTGATTGTTTTCAGATATTTCTTTGATTAAAAAATTTAATAAAAAGATTGTGCTGATCGATTCTGTTGTTGACGAACCATCCTACGTGTACATGTACGCATAGTTAGGTTACATGATTTGATAAGATTTAGAGTAGGATCACTCTTTTATGGGGGGGGGTAAAATTTATCAGAGCAGGGTTGAAATTTGAGAATATCTTTCATGTAATCTGTACTGTCTGAAGTGTAAAGCTTAATTTTGTGATTTCTGAGATATTTGTTATTTTTACTATGTGTGGAGGAGACAAAATAGATTAGCACAATAAGTTTCGTTTCTCTGTACCAAGAAAAAAACTTGTCCGTAGGTGTGGGGTATTTGTTAGATCCGTTGTTTTGTCTAAGACCAGCTTGCACATCATTCCTCCAGACCATCAACAGTGCCCACAAGGATTGGATCTGTTCGCTAGACTTCTTGCCAGGCCGTGATTGTCTGCTTAGCGGCTGCCGTGGAGGCTACCTCAAACTATGGCACATATGGGACTGTTCACTTATTGGAGACATGAAAGCACACACAAGTCCCATCAATTCCATAGCAACCAATGCAACGCACATTTTCACCGCTTCCAGGTAAGTTTGATTTGGTTCTGTAGTTGATGTGGTCCATGTTTTACATATGTGCTGATAAATGTACATGTAAGTACAAAATAGATGTACATGTTTCAAGGGGAGTCAGGTTGGCATGGTATTTTCTCTCTTCACCCTCCATCTGTGGTGGCCCAGGTTCCAATCCGGATCAGTTCACATGTGGATTGGGTTTTCGGTCCCTACCTGAGTCCGTGGGTTGTCTCCGAAACATTTATCTGGGGTTTTCCTCCCACCTCTAAGACTGAACATTTCTCCATAACTTTCTTCACTCATTATCCCTCCAGTAATTGGCACTAAGTGTGCTGTTAGATGGTCAGATATAAATAAATAAAGACGCTAAATGCGTATGTAAAGACATGGTCATCACATAATTATGAAGTCATGTGATATTCATGGTAACTGTTCTGAAAATGATAATGCCAAGTTTGAATTTTGTTTGTAATCACATTAAGCGAAGCATTGTAATGATATTTTTCTATACGTGAGTTTATAAAAGTGTTCAACAATTCTGCTTAGAACTTGTGGAAATAACTTGACGCAAACAACCAGAATTCTTTCAGAATAGGAAAAATAGTGGAAGTGGAAACTTGATCAATGTTCACACTGTTGTTAGCTGATTTCATTCCTGATACACAAACTGTAAGTTTTATTCCAAGCAGAATGAGTGCATTCCTGTGTATAGAACCAATTCTAGTGCCATTCTATTTGAGTTGGTGACACAGAATGTTATGCTTGTGTTTGTATCTGTCATGGCTGTTCTAAAATCTGACTGTATTCGTGTCTTTCCTTCCCTCTTTTTCTCGAATCTTCTATAAAACAATTTAACAAACTCGTTGCAAAAACGTGTCATTTTTTTGTTTAATATTGAAACTTCTTTTGTTGATTTCACTCCAATTGTAATCCAAATTAAAAATCCATTATTTTATGGCACGTAAATCCGTGCCATGTTTCTTTATTGCATGGATAATTTTCATTTTCTCATTGCATGATTATTTTGTTACATCTGTTGTATAATTTTCTTGCACCTGTTACTTTGCCTGTCCTGGTTGTGAATTCAACCGTAGCAATGTCATTCAAATTTGGAAATACAGTCCCAAACATGTGAATCGCAGATCCTACACTATAACGGACAAGTCTCGTTTGCATGTAAAATGGCATAGTCTATCCAGCCTGAGTGAAATATGAAATTATTTTTTAGCTGTAAATGTGCTTAAAACAGCTCAGATACTTGCGTGAATAACTCGACTTCATGTCAGTCTAGAAGTTAAAGTCTCCTTTTACCTGTGCATGGTACTTGTTAGCATGTGTATGGTTCTTTTTTTTATAACTATGCAAATTTTACACTGCATCACAAGTAAATACTCACAATGGTTTTAGCATTTACTGTTGTATGAACTCTTTGTTCTGTCAAATGAAATTCATATTTTGTCTCATGATACCCTTTTAGAATGGATTCTGAAGTTGATTTGACCCAAAAAGATCAATTACAGACTCAAAATAAGATTGAAGAATAAAAAAATCTAATAATAGCTAGCCATAGATAGAATTGTCTTTGGTTTGACATCCTCTTGCCTTAATACATAACTAACATTTAACTACACTGCATATTATTTTGCTACTTCCTTCCTCCCCTTTTTCTCCAACTCCACCCCCTCCTAATATCCACACAGCGATCGCACTATCAGCGTATGGAAGCCTCAAGGTGCTCTGGAAATTGCTGTCAAGGAGAATGGACATAACAGCTAGATGAGAACAAGTATAAACACCTACATGTAGGTATAGTAAAGTTGCCCTTGGCGCGAGCTCCTGTCAGGACCAACTCTTGCAGAAAACACTGTCTAACCTTAAGTGTCTTCAGATGTCCCTTGTTGCCTTGGAGCCACGAGTCCTGAGTAAAACCAGCTTATGTAGGGTGTGTTTGTTTCGTGCAGCTTGGAGTCGCAATCAGTGATCCAACGTTGGTTCACTGACACCAGAACCCACCCTGTGGAAAGAGCAAACCAGCGTTGGGATCACTGATTGAGATCCATTCGCGTGTGAAACAAACTGACATACAGTGCTTTCCATGCAAAGCAAAGTCATTTTTGCTCACCAGGAAGGCAAAAGATAGAAGCTTGATTTCACTGGTCCCCGTGTGCTTTTATATTCTATTAGAGACACTTGGGAGCCAGCTTCAATCATTCCTATTGTTGAAATATGTAATATTTTTTCAATTTTGCTTAAATTATGGATTAGCTTATGGAAGGCCTAGTAAAACAAATCAAATGGAATGAAAAATTTAATTACACATGATGAGGAGAAATCGATGAATTATACATACATGCATACAGATGGAAAATACGGTGAAGTTGGCAAGCCAAGTTACAAGCCAGGGTCTTACCTGATTTATTATTTTGTCATAGATATCTGAATCCATATTTAGTTTTGATATATATCCCGATTGGACTTGTGAATCTTTGTTTTGGATTTTTCTTAAGTTACATGTTTATGTACCTTCGCATGGAATAATTGGAATTGTTTGTTTGTGTACGCTTATTAATTGAGTCATGGTGTTTGTGGTAAAATATGTTTTGGTTTTGTTTTTCTCATTTTGGGTCGGTAGTATCTAACAAAAAGGTTTTTGAGCAGGATTATTGCTTTGTTTTTTTTGGGGGGGGAGTGTAAATATTTCAGGAATGTTATAATTTTTGCCGCACAAAGGTCTTGAAATAACGTGGCAGAATTGTCTGTATAAAGGTTAAGGTGATGCGTAAAAATTGGACAATTGTAAGTTGCAAATGTGTATTATAAAATGGTTTTAAGTTGGAAGCTCTTGCATGTATAAATTGAAATTCAAAAGAAAATGATATTTAAATATTTGGAATTCAACAGAAACATAGTGGATATTATAATGGTTTATAAGGAATCGTTTGTTCCAGCCCATAAATTGACGGTAAAATATTAAAAATAACTTGGATTTTTCATAGGTATTGAAATAATGAGAAACATTATCGTTCTAGAACCATCTTTTCTGAGAGAAAGTAAAGCGCATTCCTGCAGAAGCAGCAACCCAAAATGCCGAGCGTAAAGCGCTTATGCCCATGCATTGGCTTTGCATCTTCAAACAATACATCCCACATCGATGAGCTAGATTTTTACAAACAAATACCTACCAAAAAGAGAGCAAAAATAGGTAATAATGACTTCCGAGGTTAGACGCAGCATTTTTACGCTTGCACATCCACACTCAATATATAAAACCGTAAATTCGGCGGACTTTTAATCGGCCTGTTTACGGCTCTAAACACTAGAACATATGTTGTACGTTGCACAGTTTGTCAAGTCAAATTTCAAACTTCATTTTCGATGAATGTTGTGGTTTTTGGTGAACAAAACCCGTGATTTAAAAGCGTCATTTCAATAAATTTCAATAGAAATGCTGCGTTGAAAACACCTGTTATGAAACTCTTTCGTTCTACCAGATAAGCGTGGGTTCTTGACGAAGTTCCGGTATTGAACGTATTCGGAACTGGGTTTCGACGTTGGTGGCAGCTTACCTGATAACTGTAAACTGGCACCCTGTCCATTCGTTCTCCGTCACGTCACTTGGGCTCCGTCTCAGGCTTCAACTGTTTTATTTCCTTCCTGACTTTGAAGTTATAAGGGCAATAGTAAGTCTGACAGTACCCTAAAACATCAAGTAAGATGCAAAAGAGCCAAACATTACAGTATTTCAATTTAAGTTAAACGCTTCAGGCCACAATCGAGGATTGTTTCCTACACGAAGCCTGAGACGGAGACGAAGTTGGGTATTGGAAAACGGCCAATGTACATGATTACACAAAGACGTAGGAACAGACTGACTTCAGTCATTCATGATTTATTGTGGTCAGTTATTTATCTCAGTGGATTCCAACATAGTTTACAATACTGACACAGCACGTTCGACTTTCAGAGAGATTCTTAAAAATCTCCCTGATTATGAATTCGACTTTTTCATTCGCCAAGTGGACTATTGAATAAGCCAAATTGATTTAAATCGAAGAATCTTAAAGTACATGCGCAGTGCATTATAAAAACCGGTAGTTAAGTCAAAGATCAAAACCAAAGGTCAGAGTTCTGAGGTGACGAATCAGTGTGTGACTACTGTGAAGATGGTGTAATGTTTTATCCGTGAAACAAAAAAATCGTAGTCTGGAAAATCAGGATTTCAGCGATTGTCAGAGAGTTTATATATCGCATTTTGTGAAGCTGGTAACGGAGCAGCAGTGTACAAAGAAATGTATTAGGTAAAAGTAGCGCAATAGACTTATTTATTTTGCTGAAAGGGTTTAGATATTGATTGATATTTTATTACAGAAGTATTGTGGGTGCAACTTTCATTGGCTGTTTTTATTCCACCATGCTATGGTCACGAGGCTTGTATACTAATGTGTTGCTTTCCAGTGCATAATCATTGCTTGTTGAGAAAGGGTCTATCTAACGTATATTCACCTTTTTGAGGATTAAGAGAGTTTATAATAAGGTTAAGAAAAGACTTCAGGTGTGTATAATATCTTTTTTTTTAATTGGACAATCACTTCAAGGTGAGGATCTTCACGTGCAATTCAGACTTGTTTACATATTCCAAATAAAAATTTTGTTCAGAATACACAATCATGGATTGTGAATGGGGTTTTAACCCTATCTCCCTAGGGTGTGTGCAAAATCGTATTAAAATTGGAGGATTCAGGAATGTTAGGGAGGGATTAGGATGTGTGTACATGTATAATAAATGTACCTGGATTCCAGTTATGGTTTTTAGATTGTGCAAGGTTTCTTTTGGTGTTCAGTACTGAGTGCAGTTGTTTCTGGTAAACGCATCGTCGCAGATTTTGTTTTGTTTGGCTTGTGGTACTTTTGTGCTCCGAACTTCAACTACGAAAAAATCGTGTGGCATTCATACCCTTTGCAAATGCTGCTTTCAAAGTTACTGACCTGTGATTTTGACTGTGGTAAACAGCTTTATGTTGCTCGAGTTATTCTGGGTCTGTTTTAATACGGTCGCATTCATTAACTGAATGGTGTTTTTTCATACTGTGCACATCCACAATTGATCCCAGGAACGTGATCACGTGTTGCTCCCAGTAAGTTCTTCGTCACAAAATACGTGTAGCCTATACTGTACAAACCTATGAGGTCGTCAGTTGCGCAGTGCGGGGACAGATATACCGCTGTGGCTATTAATCCCATGAAGCTGCTAGATCGAATCCTTTGAAATAAGAAGTGCACGTTTTAGACTTTTGGCGTAACCTAAATTGCCCGGTAACTTTCAAATTGTGGCAATCAGAGAAGCACAGGGCATCAAGTAACACAACATAGCAATGGATGTAAAGATCTCAGTGTGTCTCTGTCTGCTGGTGGTGTGGTTTTCTGTCGATATTGGACCTACAGGCTTTGCTTCAGCACAACCTATCGTGCATGCTTGGGTCGAAACACCGTCGCACCGCATCCACGAGAGAGGTCATGCCGTCCTCAGATGCATAGCGGCGAACCTGTCGCCAGGACATCACCGAGTAGAGTGGATCACCGACAACCCCTGGGTGGATCTCAGGTGGGACATGGTGACCAAGACCAAGATTGAGCGATATCGCTTCGAGACGACTCGAACAAACGGCGGTGGCACCGTCGTGCAAGATTTCCACATCGTCGATCTGAAGAGGAACGACACTCAGGAATACTTCTGCAATGCTCGTCAAGTGGGCGGAGATTGGATCGTTGTGGCCGAGGACAGTGTGAAACTATCAGTTGGGCCTAAGCAGTCCTCCAACATCTTGGATATTCCGATCCAGTGCAAAGAAACTCCAGCCCTCTCATCGACTCCATATTGGATCGCTGTACTCTCAATCCCGGTCATTTTTATTACCTTGTCGGCTGTCATGACTGTTGTTCGTCGGAATCGTATATATGTATATATATATATATAGAAATTCAACATTTATGGTGAAGGTTTGTGTATAAATCAAACAAACTCGATGTTTTACTCTACCAATCATACTTTCGTGTAGATGCTGCACCAAACGTTTGGACGCTTTTTGGAGTCAACTTTGATTAGTATAAATCAACTTGCTGCTTTTTTTTGTTGCTTTAAAAATGAGTGTGCATCTTCATGAACTGCAGATGTTTCCCTGAATGGGCCATAACATATTTTCTTCCTGGTACGAACAACGTGAAAAGTACTGAAGTGCACAATCAGTCCGTAAGATAACACGGAAACAGCAGTAGCTTTCCTTCCTCTGTTTCGTCGATCGGAAAAACACAAAACAAGCATACAGATAGTGAAAGCACGAATCATACAAAATTAAGAAAATTGGAAAACAGGAGATAATTAGAAAGTATCATAGAAGAGGGGGCCATGAAGAGATGTAGAAAATGGTCACTATACATGTCCATTTGAAATGATTGCGTAGGGTCGACAGATCCTGAATTGAAATTTCCATTTTCTGTAATGAAGACTAATTGTTTGATTTTTCATAGCAATCGTATATTCTTTATCATTCTAATTTTGTAAAAATAAACTTAACTCCATAAAGAAAAGAATTTGAGTCTGGAATCTATATAAATAAAAGTTGGTACAAAGAAAAACATAAGTCAAAGATTTGTTATGGGAACACCAAAAAAGAATTCAAATTCCCCAGAGTGAATAGGGTCTTTGAGATTTTGATTGATAAAAGACATGAGGTCTGACAAGATGGGTGAAACATGATCACACTCATAAAAAAGATGAATCGAAGTTTTAGGACATTTTATCACAAAAAGCATAGTTAGGAGAATCTTTTCTTCCCATTTTAAAAAGAAAGTTATTCAAGGCAATAGCCCCATGAAACATCTTAAAATAAAATGCTCTTAATCTGATTTTTGTACATTTAAAGTTACTTGCATGAATCCCCTCAAAGTGTTTATCTTTCAAGTTTATGTTTAAATTAAATTGAAACCACAGCAAATGTTGGTCGTGAAGGCTGTTCTGGAGGGTCAAGACGTATTTGTCAATCTTCTAACTGGACATAGCAAAAGTTTCAAATACCAGGCTGCACCGTTGTGCAGCAACGTCATGAATGTAAGGGNTAGCCTAGACATGCTCGGACTTCCTAGCCCCCAAAACACGATTGGTTCAGAGAAAGAGAAATGTGAATAATTTTTAACATTAGCACATTGGATAATAAAGATAAACCACTGGAAACAAAGCTTCAAAAGCGCTTGCGGCGGCGCGCACTAATCCACGCTCGCACGCCCATGTCTTCCGATAGAATGAGAAGAAAGGCGGAGCGTCTAAAGACACTAATTAATATTCATGAGCCCTACATAAATACATAAATATATGCTGTGGTTAGCTGAGCTACGAATTATGTTCTTAGGTTTTGGCCACTAAACACTAGTTAGTATGCCTTTCACATGACAGTGGGTTATGCAGGATGCAGAATTTCTACATTTATGCTAAATGTTCCCAAAGGTTTTGCATTAGTTCACGCGGCCTATTGCGCATTCAATAATAAGGGAATAAATAGGCCCTATGTGCTTGGCTGGTCTTGGATATGCATTTAAGACCAACTCAGGAGAATAAACGCGACTGAATCTGCTTGCCCTAAAGAAGGTACTCAGTTAAACCCAAAGCTCGGCATTTACATATTTCAGAGCACATTACATTCATGAATGGAATTTTTTAACGCATGGCTGTGCATGAACGACCCGAACCTGAATATCACCACGCTACATACAGTAGAACCATTTATATGTCTAGTGTTGCGATGCAACGACCTTACAGAGTGTGCTCTTAGATCTATCCAACGTTAATCAACCTGTTAGTCCATCGAGTGCAAGAAGTGAAAAGGCACGGCGAAAATTATGACGTCCAACGGCAAACTTTCCATAGGCTACAAAGATACCAATTACTGTACCAATGTGTGGAGGAGGAAACCTTCTATGAGGGGTTTGCTACTGTGGCTTGGGTTAGCGGGTATGGGGTACCTAATGCTGTCGTTTTTCACCACTGGCCATGTACAGGTGAGAACATTCTAGCTAACTTTACGATTTTCTTGTGGCTGCGTCGAGGAAATTGATGATAGTTATTTCAGGATGAAGATCTCTTGTCGGATACGTCTTTTTTTTTTACTGTCTTATTTAACTCTTGGCCTGAGATTTCAAAACATATTTTGAGGGATTTGTTGTTGTAGACGAGTTTGACTCCCAGAATTCGACGCACGATGATGTATTCATAATTGACGCGTTCTGTATATCACCAGCACACTCTCCATCGTGTGGTCCAGAATCGATACTTTGACAAACCTCTTTGGTTAGGAGTTTGTATCTGTCCGCCAATTTTCACCCAATCAGATCCAGTTACTGCGTGCTATAAACCTAGCAAAGTAGATTTCATTTTTTGTTTCAGTTTTCAAACTGTACAGGGGGATGTCTGACCACAGAGCTCTATGATCTGACCATGATAAAACACCTGCTCTATAGGCGTTGCTCATACTGTTGATACACCGCGCACGGCTCACAGCCATGATGTCCAAGTGTTCCTACAGTAAACACATAACACAACACAGATTGGACGGTATTACAGATCAGGTTCATATACAGGATCAACTTTTGCTTGACACTGGCTTTTCTGTAGGACACACTCCCATTTTGTACTAATGTAAACTTGGCAAATCCTTCGGATTACAATTATTATTCAAACCTGGGCGTTCCTATCTGGCCATGCAGTAGACGAAACCCAGGGCACTATTCTGGTTTTGCCCGCATTAGGGCCTAGCCAAGTGACCTTCACTTACAGGATTAGAGGAAGTGCAATAATAAATTATTACAACCAACAACAACGACGACGACAATGACGAAACAAACAGAAGTATCTGTCAAACAGATCAAACACAAAAGATTTTCGAAAGGTGACTTTTGTAAAAATGGCTGCCTCTGAAGGAAAACATTTTTAACATTTGAAAATTCGTGGTTATATATTTACCAGTGTTAACTGAAACCATTATTGTAGTTTGCACAACTTATAAGACTACAATATTATCTTAAACCCGAAATAAGACACGTTCCAAAGTTTATGTCAATGCAGGTTCTTGTGACTTTCATGTCACACATAAACGAATAAACGTTGACGCACCGTTTGCAAGGTACTACACCACTATAATGTATTTTGTATTCATGCTGTGCATATGCATGCCATGTAAATTTAAACTTCATTAAAGATCAGAAATGATGAAATATGCACTGGGAAGCAAAAGAAACTTGCCATTTCTGTCAAGGCCACACATAAAAATTCACTCCATAGAAATAAACAATTTTTGTACACAGGTATGCTGCAATACCCCTCACTAATCACATGCCCAATAGCAAGTGATTATCTTTATAACAAAGAAGAAATTAACATGCACAGCAACTTGGTTACTGAATCAAATGTCACACACAAAAGCACTCTCCACCAAGCAAAAATGACCCATGAATGGACAACGTTTTAAACAACCAATGACAAAGTGAACACCTGTTTTGTTAAAATGATGTGCATGAGTGGTTTCTGTAAAGGGATGTCATCCTTACAGACTATGCATACATATTACTGAAAAGTAATGATTGTGACGTCTTCATTTCGTCTTGTGACATTGATTTCTGCGTAAAACTTAAGGCTCATTCTATTACATTGTGTGACTTTTGATTCAGTAACCAAGTCGCTGTACAATTTCTCCTTTTGTTATAAACATTATCACTTGCTTTGGGGTATGTGATTAAGCCTTGTAAGGGGTATTGCAGCATACCTGTGTACAGAAATTGTTTATTTCAACGGAGTGAATTTTTATATGTGGCCTTTGACATAAATGGCAAGTTTCTTTTGCTGTCCAGTGTTGTAAATCAAGTAATGATTCTTAAGGAAAGGCGTGACTTGGAGGCATATTATTTTGACTTCAAAATGGCTCGGCTTTAGCTGCAATTATTCATGAGCCCAGTGGCATATAAGCAGATAGCAAAATGGCTGGTAACCCATTTCAAACAAAAATAGGCCCTAGTGCATTAGACATGACCCGTGTATTGACAACCAGCCGTGCATTTCAAAAGGTTTATCTTTTCTCGGTGGATTGACATCTGTGCACGAACTGGTAGGAACAAACCCTCTTTTATGTTTTGGTCACACACCAATTGTTACACATTCAAGGGCATGCGTGCACCTGACTGAATTGTCCATTCAAAATAACAAAATAATGCCAAGGCCCAACATACAAAAGCTTGGAAACTCAGCCAGCTCCTAAGTAAACATTTTTCACAAGGTATTTCCTCGTTTGAGGGTTTGATTTTTAGCATCTACCAGAACACCCAACATACCTAGCAATATCTTAAATCAGTTATTTTCACCAACCTTTTTAGCGTCCCAAATGTTGATATTATTCCCGACATACGTGATCACGAAGCCATTGTTTCTAACTGCCAATGTTTAACTAAGACAGCTTCCCGAGTTTATTTTAGAGTAAATTCCCAAATGACTTAAATATGCAGGTGCTTACCTAAATGGTGTGGTTTTGAGAGGATAAAATACAAAAAACCCTGGTTATCTGGAAAACACTTATTACTCAATATGCCCGATTTCAGCATTCTACACAAGATGTTAGGAGGCACCCGAAAATCGTCTTGTCGGATCACACGTGAGGTTAAGAAAACGCGAAAGATGCTTTAAAATTGCCTTTAAAATGTAATGATTACATTAGAAACATCGCAAGTAACATTGATAGTAACCCTAAGAAATTTGGGAATTTGGAAGGGCCCGCAGAAATGATGACCTGGCAAATAATTGCTTATAAATTGAAGGGGAAATCACAACTGATCCAGAAAAGGTGGCTGAAGCTTCAAATTAAATCACTAATTTGGCTGTTTTTAATAAGCAATCCACGGTATTGATACGCCTCAGCTAGATCCTCAACCTGACACTGAAACTATGCCCCGTCATTGAATATACCTCATTTGAGGTGTAAATGGCAGGCCCGGATGAAATTCCTCCAAGAATATGGAACTTGGCTGAAGGCAGACTCTGAAAAAAGAATTATTCAGCTCAGGGGAAGTCCCCATGTTAAAGGTGACTACACCAGGCTGTTCAGCATCTACAGAGGTACAAATTAACAGGAGGTTTTTGCATTTGGCCGAAAAATGTTTTTTTTAATTACGTAATTAGAAAGAATTGGATCCCCAGTATATCAACTCCGCTCTACGTCGGGTCATCACCAAAAGTCGAGCCTCGAGCTGGGCCAAGAGAGGGCGTTATTCCTTAGCAACGGAGGCTTTTTTGGTAGTAACTGGGCAATGTTCACGAACGACTATGAAACGCAAGCGTTACAGTCGCATCGCTACCAAAAAAATGAACACTCCCAACCAACGTAGCTCTTTTCACCCAATGAAGTGGTGCTTCCGCTCGGTGCATATAATTAATTAATAATTAATAACCGTATCTCTTTTCTCGGCTACATACAACAAGCACTAGTATGTTACTACTTTCCTCGAACGTTTGCTGATACGGAAACGAAAAGAAATGACCTTGGAACCATCCTGTTTGCGATGACAAATAAATAAATGAAATCAATAGTTAGTGCTAAACCACGACTAAGCATCAAAAGCCCATTCTTTTATTAAAAGTTTTCTATGTACCAGGCACAAAAACCGCTGATGAAAACTTCGGATGGGACTCTGTCTAAGGCAAAGTTTATCAGACAATCTTGGGGAAGGGGCGTCACCCCTAACCCCCCTCCCGCCCAGTGAAAAAGAGCATGGGGAAATTGACTCTCCAGTACCCAAAATTTTGCCCTTTCTTCAACGTCGCCCTTCTCTTCTTTTCGAAACTACGTGCATTTAAAAATAACTTGTCTTTTTCTTTGCAGTTGTCAAATCCACAACCATCTCAAAGAAAGTTCTCCACACGTATGCTTGGCTCTGTACAAAATATCATCTCCAATTACCTCGCTAAATTGCCGAATGTTACACCAGCAACACTTTCGAACCCAACAGTCGCTGGGAACTCCTTTTTCTACATCCAGTACCCCAAGGCAAGTTACAATGTATGTGATCAGCTGGCATTGTACATCGAAGCGAGGGACAAAACGAACAAGACGAAGACCAGAGGAGGTGATTTTATGTGGCCCTACCTGCAAACAGCCTCACTAAGCGCTAGTACCCCGGCAGACGAGCTGATCGACCATGGTAACGGTTCATACGCCGCCCTCTTCACGCTAAACTGGGCCGGGGAAATTGAGCCGTTTGTACGGTTCGTCCTCAGCTCCGAGCAGTCTTATTCAGTGCGTAAAATCAGGGACCGAATACCTTATAGGTTCGCTTACGATGCCATGTTCACTGACGGCAAAACCATTGAAGTGACGCCATGTCACATTACGAAAGACATCTACGTCGATAAAGCGGCGAAAGAGTTGTCATTGGCGTCGAAAGCAGAAGTTTGTGATTTTTCTGACCCTAGGATAGGTTCGACTTGGTATTGCCTCAAGCCCAAAACTCTGTCCTGCTCCAATCGTAGTCAGCATCGTGGTAACATAGAAAGAGGAAACAGTTATCTTCAACAAGCGCTGCAAGACGAAAAAGTGTCGTTAGCAAAGTGAGTATTGATAAGCAACTGTATCATGACAAGTTCACTTTAAGAACGAATACAGCTCACAACCTACTGATCGACCAAAGCTTACTCAAGAAAGAAAGTTCATGTAATGAAGATCAGTTACATAACCTGTATATATTTTTCATATATATAAATACATAAAGGAGCACTCGCTCTTGGCAAGAGCTGATGACCCGACCAACTGTTTGTTTGGATTGCTTTTTCTTACAATGTCTGTTTTAGTTTGCTTCTTTTTCTTCCAGGCCAGAGATGTTGCAGAACATTGGGAAAGTACGCACGGTCAAAGTAATGTCTAAAGGTACTTCATCCTTTCAATTTTTATTCATAAGGTGGCTCTGAAGGGATATCTAAGACATTGCAAATTTCACCCAACCGCTCACGTCTTTTGACAGTTGCCCTTGTTATCGCGACATTTCTAGAAGCTTAGAAATTTATAGATTCTTGTATGATGATGTGCGAATTTAAACAAAAAAGGTGTTGGTGCTTTTGTATTTCTAACTTCTAAATCACTATCTCAGTGGGCGTTTTTTCTTTTCGGTATCAACGACCCTTACCAAGGCCTTATTCAGGAAGAACAGAACAGTGATGGAAAGGACTTCTTCTGATTAAAAAGCGGTATTACTGGATTTGAAATCATGAAGTCGCATTGAAATTACATTGCATTCTATGCCAAGAAACATAAATTGAGATTAGCTTCAGTGGTAAAATCGTACGGTTCAATCATTCATTTTTTACCTTGTGGCAGTACTGATATTTTAACGGGAGTTTGTGCGAAATAGTGTGTTTATTTTCTGTCGCATCGTTTTAAACTGTTGTAAAGTTTCCTTTTCCCCAACCAACTCACTCTTTGTTGCTCACTTGTTGTAAGCTTCAACTCTCTCCCTAGGCCCCCATTCTCTTTGTTGTTCACTTGTTGTAAGCTTCAACTCTCTTTCTAGGCTCCCATACTCTTTGTTGTTCACTTGTTGTAAGCTTCAACTCTCTCCCTAGACCCCCATTCTCTTTGTTGTTCACTTGTAAGCTTCAACTCTCTCCCCAGGCTCCCATACTCTTTGTTGTTCACTTGTTGTAAGTTCTCTCTCCCTAGGTCCCCATACTCTTTGTTGATCACTTGTTGTAAGCTTCAACTCTCTCCTTAGGCTCCCATACTCTTTGTTGTTCACTTGTTGTAAGCTCTCTCTCTCTCTAGACCCCCATTCTCTTTGTTGTTCACTTGTTGTAAGCTTCAACTCTCTCCCTAGGCTCCCATACTCTTTGTTGTTTACTTGTTGTAAGCTTCAACTCTCTCCCTAGGCCCCCATACTCTTTGTTGTTCACTTGTTGTAAGCTTCAACTCTCTCCCTAGACCCCCATTCTCTTTGTTGTTCACTTGTTGTAAGCTTCAACTCTCTTCCTAGGCTCCCATAATCTTTGTTGTTCATTTGTTGTAAGCTTCAACTCTCTCCCTAGGCCCCCATACTCTTTGTTGTTCACTTGTTGTAAGCTTCAACTCTCTCCCTTGGCTCCCATACTCTTTGTTGTTTACTTGTTGTAAGCTTCAACTCTCTCCCTAGG